GTCCTTCCTGTCGTCAAACACTGAAATCTAATTATCATCATTACTGAGGACGAACGAGTCTGAGCTGCATCCAGATCTACTGTCCTCTACTGACCTGGACCGTGTGTGTGTGTGTGTGTGTGTGTGTGTGTGTGTGTGATGATAAATCTTCAGTTCCATTTAAATTCCCCTCGTCTCTGTCTCTGTATTAAAGTGTAGTCGAGGTGAATGTTAATTAGCTCCCGTCCGTCCTGCGCTCTGATTGGACGGCCGCTGGTCACCTGACCAACTTCAACCTCCACATAGCAGTCGGTTTAAGGTCGTCTCTTATTTAACCGCGTCCTAAAACCAAGCTGAGGACGATGAACGTGTCCGTCGGTCTGTTTTCTCTGGAGGACTGAGCTTCTCATGTACGATCAGAGGAATGTGATGATGAACGGTAGCGTGTTGTTTAAACAGACTGTAGGTGTTGAATACTGGTTTGCTGCTAATTACAGGTAAAAACTAACCAACTGACGACTTCACCTACAGCTAACCATCAACAACAGGCCACAGCTGTAAATAATGTCCTCATCACACATCTGGAGTGGGGTGTTTGACGTGTTTACACTATTTTTTGCGATATATGAAAAAAAATTTCTGTGATTTAACATTTTTTTGACTGTTTTTGAAATTACAAATAACTAGAAACTCACAGACAGCAGGTACCGACTTCCATGTGAGCTGGAACATGAGAACAGAGGCCGTGCTGCTGTGTTCAGCCAATCAGAGCCCTGGGGGGCGGGGCTAAGCTGGCGTCTGTCTGTCTGTCTGTCTGCAGGTCGCTGTCAGCTGATCGTGGAGCCTCAGTGTCACATGCTGCCCTACAATCAGACGTGGCTGTCGTCCTCCGTTGCCGTGGTGAAGAGCTCAGAGGTCGACATGTTGCTAAGGTAACCGCATCCAGACACAGAGGAGGCCTTCGTCGCCAACAGGTTGTCTTTATAGAGGAGTTACCAGAAAGACTCCACAGATCAGCCAGAAGAGTTCTGAGGTTGAACTTCAGGCAGTGTCTCCTCAGAGAGCCGGAGAGGAGAATCCAACCTCCTGGATCAATAGATAGATGCAGCACGGATCAGAACCAGAGACCAGAGGAGCCAGTTGGTGGAGATACATTCATCTGATGGTGGAACATCTTTCTACATCTGATGGTGGAACATCTTTCTACTGATGGTGGAACATCTTTCTACATCTGATGACCAGAGAGGAAACGTCTGGAACATGGAGATAGTTCAACATCTGCAGGACGAGGAGATGGAGATTAAAAATTGCCCCAAATACCTACAAAGTAACCGAAGCAGACAGAAAAATCAATGAGGTGAGACAACATACCAGAAGAGAGACAAACAATGAGAAAGATGAGACGCAGAGCAGAAGTGGAGACAACGTAAAGCAGGTAGAACAAGGTACACGTGGTCACAACGAGACAAAACAACTAAAACGAGTCACAAAATGACACAACACAACAAAACGAGGTTTAAAACGTCTGAAGCAGAAAGACTCTGCGGCAGAACAGGAGGAGACAGAAGCTGCTCAGAGCAGAGCGCTGCACCTCGGCAGCTGCTTCAGATCTGGAAACCCCGTCAGCTGAAACCGAAGCTGCTGAAATGCGACGCTGCAGCTGACGTCCTGTTTACTCTGTCGCATGTTTCTGCCGCAGACGTTACTTAGCAACAGCTTCACACTTTGCTGCTCCGGAGGCTCAGACGCTCGACTCTGACTGGTTCTCCTCCAGAGCAGCTTCTCAGACCGTCACACATCTACACACACTGACATGTTCATCAGTCAAGACAGGAAGAGGGAACCTGCAGCCTGTTGCACGACCTTCAACCAAATCTTCCTAACGTTCCTCCAGAACCTCCTCTGAACATCTGGTTCTGTATCTGCAGCACCTTTATCTACTGACCAGAGTTCTACCTTCAGAGGTCCAGGTCCTTGAAGTCCACAGAGGAGGGTCCAGATTGATCACCTTAATGGACTTTTTCCATCATTTCTGAGCCTCAGAACTTCATCAGTCCAGCAGATAGACACATGACATGTAGGAGGAAGATCACAGAGGCACATGAAGACAAGATGAGACACCAAACAAGGAAGATGTGACCAAAATGGAAAAACAAAACACAAAATGGCACAAAGCAGGAAAAATGACTGTGTGGGGAAACTGAGACGGGAGCTGCTGCTGGAGCTCAGTGATGGTCAGTCTGACCCCATCAGTCTGACCCCATCAGACTGACCCCATCAGTCTGACCCCATCAGTCTGACCCCATCACACTGACCCCATCAGTCTGACCCCATCAGACTGACCCCATCAGTCTGACCCCATCAGNCTGGTGTCCCCTGTTCACCTTGAATCTGACCTCCAGCTGCTGTTGTCTCCACCTGTGTTTTCCTCTTCAGGTATTTTTGGCAGCGACCTGTCAGACTCCGCCCCCCTCCCCTCCCCTGAGCACATCGCCGACAACAACCGTGGTTACCATGGCAACAGCACAAGCAGCCCCTCCTCCTCGTGGTTCGAGGCCGACAACGTCACGTTTGTTCTCCGAAGCCACGGCGACGTCCCGGCGAACCGCAGCGCGAGCACAGCCGTCCCTCCGATTACCTCCTCTCAGGCCCCGCCCACACAGCCCCGCACCAAGCCTCCTGATTGGATGGCGGCCGTGACGGCGCTCAGCACGGCCTGGCCAATGGGCACGACTCCAACACCTGACACAGGTACGCTGTAAAACATGCAACATGTAGGGAAATGTAGTCCTCACGACACAACAAAAAACTAC